AAGTGAAAAGTACCTTAAAATGCTTATAGTTCAAGGATGCTGAAAGTTTGGAGGAAATATATATTATATATATATATTTTAACAACAGTAGATTTCACTCTGAATTTTATAAAGTAATATAAGTTTTGGAGCGACCTTTTAGAAACTCCAAACAGAACTCAGAATACTTATTCTTTTGAAGAGGAAAAAAAATTCAAATAAGCAAATACACACCTGCATGATTCCAATATCGATGCGTCTGCTCCCGAGCTCTAAAACTAATTAGAAATTTGTTTCCTATCTGCAATTAGCCTTTAAGAAGATGGGCATCCGTTAACACAGTTTGGTAGTATAATGACCAGCAATTAGTGATAAATTGTTCTATTCTGGAAGGAAGTAATACTTGAGAGTGGATGATTTCTAAAGGAATTAAAACATAACTTATGTTTTTTAACTTGCTAACTTAATTTTTTAAATTTGGTACAAAGAATGCAGTTTAGGAATCTTCCTCTCTTGGTGTGTGTAGAACTTGAAGAAAATAAAGTCCTTTTTCTTACTTTTGCTCTTTCTAGTTACCTTTTCCTTATCCTTCCTCCTTCCTCCATCCTCCTCATCCCACAAACCCTACATTTCCTCTGTGAATAAAAATAGAAAAGAAGGGTAGGGGAGAGGCAACCGGGTGATGGGCATTAAGGAGGGCAGGTGATGTGATGAGCACTGGGTGTTATACACAACTAATGAATCATTGAAACTCATATCAAAAACTAATGTACTATATATTGGCTAATTGAATTTAAATTGAAAAAAGAAAATATGAGGGTACTTTCAAGAACCTGGAAGTTGAGAAAAATTCCCTACAAGATGGAATTAATAATACTTATCTGAGAGATTTAAACAATCGATTAGAAGCTGCAGAAAGCAGATATCATCAGTTCAATATAAGGTAGAACTTCCTACAGATTAGGATGGACCAAACATAATTTTCTCAAATGTTTATAATTCCTCAATTTTACGAAATGTGAACTGGAATATCCTTTACTGGATGTTGTAGAGTTGATATGAGCATTCACTGGGGTCTGGTGAGGAGGTGGATTAGTTGATGTGTAAGGTTTCTTCATGCACTGAATGAGCTTCTCTCACTGAGATTATTTTCTTAACAGAGGAGTTATCTGCATTGTGCTCTCTGTCAGAAAGTTGTCCTGGCTACACACTTTAATCCCTGCCACTGTTTTGAACTGAGCCATACAGATAATCATGAACCTGCATACACATGCCATTTAGGAAAAGAATGAAGTTGAGGCACAAAATTAGATGTGAGATGCTAAGTGGCATTAGGTCATTGCTTTTATGTCTATTGCCTCCAGTGTGTTAGAGAAGAACTATTTCGGAAGGATGGATGTATCGAGAAATTTTAGAATGGGAGCTTGTTGTGGTTCTGTTCAGTTAAATAGGATATGGCTAGAAGTCAGCCATCTTTTGTGCCTATGCACAAAATTCCCACAAATATACTCTATTGCTGATAATAATCCCTGTATATTTCCCAACATAGTATTTCCCAAGACAGTATGTCTGCCAGTCTGTTTAGGCCTTGGGAGAAAGTAACTCAGATCTCTAGATATTATAGAAGGTGCAAGGAAGTATTACACAGGTCAAGTGAGCAGATTTATTTGAAATAATAGCAATACCATTGTTGGACAAAGCTGCTGTCACTGCAATGAATGATAAACTCAATTTTAGGTGGAATGTTATTCAGTTCATTGACCTCCCTCCAATCAATTCCCCTCTGGCATAGGTAGGCATCACCAACTGAAGTCAACTCCCTCTAGTCACCCTGCCCATAAAATATGTATAGCTCTTATGACCAGAACATGAGATTGCAACCCTACACAGGCTATCCCTTGGGAGTAATGTGATATACATCTTGATACTCTTACTTACGAGTGAGTCTAGCCATTCTTCCTCATAACTACCCAGCACCTAGGACCTCTTAACTTCCACATATGAAACCCATGATTTTCTTTGTCAGTTAGAATGTTTTTGCTGAAATAAACACGTCAACTCAAATCAGCTTAAACAATAAAACAATTTGTTGGCTGTCATCCTCAATGTGTCATGCCCTCATTTTTTTGTCTCTATTCTCACTATTATTACCCTTACTAAAGTTTTTAATACATTTCACCTAAACTACTGTAGTTGTGTCCTACCTGGTCATTCTGCCACCCCATTCATGGTTTCCTATAATAGACTTCATTCATTCAACATTTTGAGTACCTACTATGCTATTTGGGGAGGAGGAGGAGGCACATGATTGAATAAATTTCAGTCCTTAAATTTAAGGCAATCTATTTGTTGGGAAAGTCTAGGTTGTGGTACAGCATCAAATGGAATCACAGGGGTTGATAGCATAGGTCTACTTTTTCTTGCTATACATCCTATAAGATGACTGTTGTTCTGCCCCATATCATATTCACCACAGAACCTAAGCTAATGGAGCAGTCTTTATCTGGAAATTGGTCTGCTGGCATGGCACAAAAAAAGAAAGTGTGACAAAACACAAACTGGTTCTCAAAATTTCTGCCTGCAAGTGACCTATATTATACTTATATTTCACTGGTCAAATCAGTTAGCTTGACACATCTGAATTCAAAGAGTAGGGAAATATACACCTCATCTAGGCCTAGAGGACAATGGATATTGTTTAAGAGTAAAGCAATCAATCACATGACCTTAACATTTAGAGCAGGAGTCAGCAAACTACAGCCCGCCACACACTTTTGTAAATAAAGCTTTATTAGGACACAACCACACCCAGTCATTACATATGATCAATGGCTGCTTTTGCACTATAATGACAGAGTTGAGGGGTTATGACAGAGACCATATGACCAACAAAGCCTAAAATATTTATTCTTTAGTTCTTTACAGAAGATGTTTTCCTACCTGGATTTAGAGAAGCGGAAGGATACATGCATAAACCTCTAAAATGCATTGTATCCACGTTCTTCTTTCAAGATTACAGCCCTTTAGGGGAGAAGGAGGCAAAGTATACATGTAAATAAAAATCAAGTGGAGGCATTATTAAGAAAATGTGCCCTAAGACCAAGATTTTTTTAAAGTACTTTGGAACTGCAGAGGAAACATCTGATTGAAAGGATGAGGGAAGATTTTTTGGAGGAAATAGTATTTGGAATAAGCATTGAAAGGAGGAAGGATTTTCTTAGGGGTACCCTCCAGGGAAAAGTATTGCAGAAGGAAGGAAAGACTTGAACAAGGAAGGTTTAGGGTATGTTCAAGGAACGGAGAATACTTGATTATGGTTAAATGCTGGTATTTATGATGGATTATGAGAGATGGTACTGTTCCCCGAAACACAAAATATCATCTTGAATTTCTAAATTAGAACTATATTATTAGAAGATGCAGCAAGGGTGTTGAAAAGTGTTCAGGCTTTGAATCTTGCCTTTGCCATGTAATAGTTGTGTGACCTACCTGTGTCACCTTAACCAAACTATTTAACCTCTCTGAGCCTCAGATATCCCTACTAATGAAATGAGAACAATTGGACCCTCATAGTTTTTTGAGGATATAAATAATGAATGTACAGTGTCTGTCCTGTGCCTGATACATTGTAGATGCTCAAAAATTATAGCTGTTATTATTACTATTAGTCTTTTTAAGCCACTGTCAATCTGCTTTGACTTTTGCAGCCTGCCTATTCCTAACTGACGTACACTTTCTGGTCTTTGTGCCCCTTTTCTCTCTTTCTCTAGCTCTCTCTCTCTTTATATATATAGAGGTTGAGAGAGAGAGGGAGAGAACACATGCACATGGGTGGGGGGAAGGACAGAGGGAGAGAATCTATTGCAGACTTCTCTCTGAGCCCACAGGCTGATGCAGGACTGGATCCCACAGCCCACGAGATCATGACCTGAGCTGAAATCAAGAGTTAGACACTTAACTGACTGAGCCACCCAGGTGCCCCTTTATGCCCCTTTTCATGTCATGTTTTCCGACTGATACAACCCACTACTATCTGCTATCTGTGGAAGTCTGTTACTATTTAACATCCAACTCAAATTATCTTCTTTCTATAAAGTCCTCAAAGGTGCTTCCCATAACTTAAAATTAAATCTTCTCACTTCCTCCCATAATATTTATAACATATTTTATTATGTTTTAGGTCTTATGTGGGTGCTGTCTACTTGAGTCATTCATAAGATTCTTGAGGGAAGGAACCATATCTTGGTCTTGTTAGAATCTTTGTTATATAGTTTTATAAGCAGTTTTCATTCATGGCAGGATGATCCAGAAAATATTTTATTTCATGCTAGGAAGCATCTAATTGACGAATCATCTTGGGAAAGTCTTAGTTCTGCAGCTAAGTTGATCTCTATAAATAAGGAAAAATATAAGATCAGAAGTTGATCTAATTGTTGACCTTTCTCTAAATTTTGAAAGCATTTAAATTGAGTTGTATTCTTTCTCTTTATAGGGAAGGCAGCTTTAAAATTGCATTTTTAAAATTCTCTGAACATAAAGAAGCTTTACCGTTATTATTTTCTAAATGTTTAATGAATGGCATGGGACCTTCCTAAATTTCTGTTGTATCAAAGTCACTAGTGATTGACAGAATGTTCAAAATGGAGAATCCAATGCATGTGGCTTAAAATCACACAGTTGTCCCCCTTCCTTTTAATAGGTTCTTCAGATATTTGAAGCAGTACTGTCAAAGTAAAAGACTCATAGCCTTGAGACTGGAAAGATGAGTCCCTGGAGTATGGAGGAAGACTTAGAGCCTTTATTCATGTTAAATTTTTATGCCATTACTTAAAGATCTCTCTTTTTTAAGTTTAAAATATACATTATATATTTCTCCAGTGTTTTATGTATAAGATTTCTTAATAAAAATTATATGTGTATGCTCAAAATTTATTTACTGTTGGGGTATAGAATTAACTGGAGATCACTAATTTAAAGGAAAACTATATAAATATAAATTATATATATATATGGTAAGCAACAATATTTAGTCATGCATCTCCTGTATTTATTAGCTTTTAGAGACAATGGTGATTGCTTTCTTTCTATACAAATTGCATTATAATACACATTTTTGAAAAAATATTGGTTTCTGGTGGTGAAGAATCTTCTGGTAGCTTCAGGATTCCATCCACGTTTTTTAAGTTTGGCAAACAGGAGAACACTCTAAAACAAAAGTTAAAAATAAAAAAAGTAACTGTACAGAACAAAAGCATTGTCTTTCACTTACTCTCCTTATAAATGAGTGGAGTTTGCCTGTTATTACAAGAAAGATGAATGGCTATCATTTTATTCTTTTTTTTATTCTTTACAATAGGGTTATAATAAAATACTATTTATGTTCATTGAGCCGATCACCTTGCTGTAGCTTGCCCTCTCCAGGAGCTACTATATAGTTCTACAGATCATAAGTATAGGTCAGAGAAGTGGGACTATGTACAGTCTGTTTTTATAAGAGAATTTCAGTGCCGTTTTTACAAAGCTCTATAAAGGGAAAAAAATGAAGGAATTTAGCCAAATAACCATGAGAGAAAGAATGAGATAATGATATAAGTGCACATTAGAAAGTAAAAAGTTTTTTTAAAAAAGGAAGAAGTAAAGAAAACACATGTTGTTTAATGATAGTTAAGGAAGAATTCTGGCTGTGAGGTATAAGAGAAGGGTGGGAAATATTCTTGTGCTGAGTTATTTTCTCTTGACAGAGAGAATTCTGAAGATCACATTTCAGATTTACACAGTCACTTCAGGTTCAGGAAGGGGTCCTGCTCATCAACCCAGGTGAAAGTAGTCAAATGCCTAGCAGTGTTATAAAGCAGTGTTTTCTTTCAAGTGGACAGCTTTTCTAGATCTGGGATTTCTGTGGGCTCATACCAGAGGAAATGAATGGCCCTGGGATTTGCCCAGGATGAAAGATACTGAAACCTGTCAGTAGACATGCCATGACAACTAATGGTTGGTATTGACCTCCTTGGATGCTCTCTTTGGCCACGTAATTTTCTTAGCACTAAATATTTCCTGCATATTATCTTACTTAATCCTCACACCAATTCCGTCAGATTTTTATCCCCCATTTTAAGTTACTTATCCAAGATCATAAAGCCTGTGGGAGACAGTGCAAAGATTAAAATCTAAGTCTTCCGGCCCTAATGTTCAGACTTAACTGACAGGAAACCCTAGCTACTACTACTTTTCAAAAAGTAAAACTATGGTGAACTCAGATCACACTGACTTCTGAAGAAGAGTAAAAGGGTTTGCCTCTGGGTGTCCCCGGACATGGGGCTGCCTTCTACCTACTGGGACTTGCACTATGAGCTTTATCAGTAAGTTTTTTTCTCTTTTGAACTGTGCTTTCTTCTTATTGGAGGATCTGAAAGGAGGAAGGGAAAGACAGTCACAATTGTAGGTGACAATGACCAAGAAAGTCTTATACTTAAATAATTCTGATTATGTTCTAAAGGGACACTGAAGGTCTGGCACAGATCCTGGACACAGGGATACCCAGGGACAGAATGAATGCTATTATAATCCTCAAAATGTGGATTTGGGCTAGGTGACTGAACCCAAATTTGGATGAACTTGGGACTTCAGTTTAGTTCCTCAGCAGAAGTGGATACTTAAATCCTTTCCTCATACTTTGAAATGACCAGATCTTTCTGTTTAAAGTAACCCTGTACTACCCAAGTCAATATAACCTGGCTTTTTATAGCTTGAATGCCTGTCTGTATCCACCTTGGACTCAATCCAACAGAGTTAACGTTAGAAAATAGAAGAACCTCATTATATCCTTCATTCTCACATAATTCTATACCACATCATAAATTTTGAAGACAGATTTATAGTGAGACCTCAGGGCATATCAGATTTCAGACAGTTAATCTTCTATTGTTGTAAGGCATTCTCTGAAGGGAGGCAAGTAACTGAATTGGGATCAAAATAAAATCCCACATATAAATTAACAAAACTAAAATGTAATACTAATAAATTGCCTTTATGACTAGAAATGTGCCTTTTTATGAATGATGTTGAAATGTCCAGCTGAACCTCCTCTGACTGTAGGAAATAAAATTTTAAACTTCACAATGTTATTATGGTTAAATATTAGTTCAATTTTAAAGCAACTATGTTGCTAGTTTTCACTTATGTAAAAGCAATTTGAGAATTTATGATCACAGAACATGAATTTTGCCTTCAGTCTATAGTCATGGGGGTGACAATGGCAGCAATGAGATTTAGGTAGGAATAACAGAGATTAGAATTCTTATTTTGATAATTTTTTGTTGTACATCAGAGTTTGAAGAGTCATATTATCTAGGCCTTGGAATATGGTTGTTGTCATGGGAAAATGGCAGTTTGAGAAAGGAAGGCAGTGAGAGCTATGTCTTTTATTGAAGTTGAATGTAGATGAAAGACATAATCATAGATCAGGTATGAACCTAGAAATGATCTAATCCTTTGTATGACAGATTCAAACTGAGACCCATGAGTTTACTTGTTATCTGGGGGCAAATACAAGTTCTAGAATGCAGTGGCTTGTTTTTACCCTTTAAATTCCCACAAGCTGTGCTGGAAATTAGCTAGGGAGAGAGAGAATTTTCTGCATACCCCAAGGTATACATTGCATTATTACCATTAGGAATGTTCCAGTAGTGACAAAAGAATAAAATGGTTTATTCTTCACAGGTTTTCAAGGACTTTCAACCACTGGGTTAGATTGAATCAGTTACTTCTTTGTATCCATTTAATGGTGCCCTTGTGGCCCAAAGGAGTGAAAATAAAACCAGAGAATAGGGGTGCATGGGTGGCTTAGCTGGCTGAGTGTCCAACTCTTGATTTCAGCTCAGATCATGATCTCAGGGTCATGAGATCAAGCCCTGCATGGGGCTCTGTGCTGGGTATGGAACCTGCTTGGGATTCTCTCTCTCCCTTTTTCTCTTCCCCTCCCCTGCTCACTCTTGCTCTCTCTCTACCAAAAAACAAAACAAACAAACAAAAAACAGAGAATAAACAATTTATAAAACTATCACATGGACATTGATAGAAATCTGTACATAGAAATCTTTAAAAAGACGTATCTATTAAACATTATGAGAGAAAACGCATAGGATTTGGAAGTCTAAAATGAAGCACCTTTGTATATGTAAAGTCACATTATAAGAGAAGCCTAAAATTTTAAAGCAATCATAAATTAACTGAGAGAAGAGTGAATTATAGATTTTTTTAAAAATGATCACTTCAAAGGGGCGCCTGGGTGGCTCAGTCGTTAAGCGTCTGCCTTCGGCTCGGGTCACGATCCCAGGGTCCTGGGATCGAGCCCCGCATCGGGCTCCCTGCTTGGCTGGAAGCCTGCTTCTCCCTCTCCCACTCCCCCTGCTCATGTTTCCTCTCTCACTGTTTCTCTCTGTCAAATAAATAAATAAAATCTTTAAAAAAAAATCACTTCAAAGTTCTTTAGGTGAGATCAGAAGCATGCAACATTCAACATGTAATAGATAGGATAAATATTTGCCAAGTGAATTTAAGCTCCAGGGGAACAGCTAGTCAAAGTATAACATTCAAAGAAGAACACAGATGACAAAGGTGTTTGGGGCCTTACCGTCTCCGGTAATTTGCGTGAAACTCACAAGGGTTCCTCTTGAGAGTAAGGGATTCTAGTGGAGTGCACCATAAACTGGAGAGCCCAGTCAGAGATTCAGTGTGGTTTTCAGCCACAGATAAATGCTGTATCTGAGGTATCTTTGGCAATTGTTTGAAAGATGTGAGATGGTTTTTGTTCATATTTAAAACTCTGCATCTGGATAAAAAAAATAAACACCCTGTCATTTGTCTCCTGAAGAGGATGGTTAACTACCAAATCTTGCATAGGACTAGCATGCTTCATCTAGACCATAACCCCTCAAAGGAGTGACAGTGATATTTTCTAAAACTGTGGTTTGTAAAAGAAGAGAAATATTTATATCAAAATATGAAGAGAAAATAAGCTAAATATATGTGACTATAAGCTTGCTGAATACAGAAATCTGTTTTCTTTTCCAGTGTATACACTCAGTACTTGGCATAATAGTTGGTCCATGGTGTATTCGTAATATGTCTCAAATGAAAGTGTGAATGGCTGCAATGAATGAGTGAATCTCAGCAATCTCGTTGTTCACACAGATGCATAACAACTTGTGAAGAGTATTGCCTCCAAGTAGTGAGATCAGTTATTTTTTTCTATTTTTCCATACTGAAATTCTATATTGAAAAAATAGCATTTTGAATTAGAAAAAAAGACCTTTTATATATAAAAGAAAACTAAAAGGTATCCTTAGGAGAAGAAATGTGTGTTGGGCACTTAGGTTGAATACATTTTCCTAACATATTGTGCTTCTCAATATTTTTGCCTTAAAGCTGTAATTGTTTAAGACCATGCAAATAGAGGAAATAATTCAAATCTATCACTGACACCTTGCCTTAAGGAAAAATTCCTTTATGTATGAGTTGGGATTAAATATGATGAAGGAAACACACGGAACTTATTTATGACCTTGTACCCCACTTAGTAAATAATTATTGCTAATGGTAAAAATGTTGCTAAACAGAGAGTTTCCACACAACCGTATTGGAAAAATCCAGTTTGAACTCCCCGACCCCAATTGAATTGTAATTTTTTCACATCTATTCTTTTCATTTCCTTGTTTTCTTCCACTCTCTCTCCGTATGGACATTTTACACAGTCCTAATCATACATTTGATAACTTTGGGTTTTTACTCTTTTCCAGGTTACACATAATATTTTAGAAGCACTTTGGTGCTATGATGATTTCTAATTGAAAACCCAGCCTAAGCAGTTCCTGTGTCTCTGCTTCTCTCTCTGTCCTCCTATGAAATCTATTCTTTTATTGCCTGCCAGTCACTCTCTCATTTTCAATGTACATCCATCTCAGGCTCTAAGATTCACCCCATCACACATCCCCAGTCAGCAAGATGTTAGGGGTGAAAAGCAGCAAACCAAGTGTGGTGTTTTCCTTGGGGCAGAAGGAAGGAGGCGATGAATTACATACATCAACTTTTTTCTCCTTTGACACATTGATTTGGCAGTTGTAAAATTTGAATTGCAATTACATAATTTGATATTATATATTGTATTTCTAAAGAAAGAAAAGCCAAAAGAATACATCTGGAGAACTCTAAATCTGGGGCAAGTCTTTTCTTTAATGATTATGGTTTCTCTCTCTCTTTTATGTAAGATAGCAAAGATTTGGAGGCTTATTGATCTGGATCAGGTCAAGTTCAGGTATTTCAAGTACATGATCTTCTAGTTCAGTATTTAAAGTATGCCATGTGATTATTAAACATGTTTTTGTTGCATATGTATTTAAATATGTATTAAAAATATAACTAATGTTATCACTATTATATCCCTAGAAGGGAGTCTGGCAAAACAAAAACAGTAACAAAAACCTGAATAAACCAATATCAACTGCCAGTGATTTTGATTTATAGTAGTGATATTAAGTTTCTTTTGAGAATTTTTATTTAGGTATTTAAAATTTTGTTATTTAAAAAGAACATAAGTAGGGGCGCCTGGGTCGCTCAGTTGCTAGATCATGCGACTCTTAATCTTAAGCCCCATATTGGGTGTAGCAATTACTTAAAAAGAACATAAGTAAAATCAAATGCAATGCAAGTCTAGAGTTTTGAAGGGGCTTTGGAAAGGACTGAAGATACCCAGGCACATTGCATATTCCTCCATTTCCTGACTGCTTCCCTCTCCTGTGTGACTGGGATGGTCTTTTTTTTACCCATGCTCAGAGATGTACCTTAACCAGCTCTAGGATTTACCCTTCCTTCTTGTGGCTGCTTGGTTTCCTTCATCTCCTACTTCTTGTCACTCCACCTACCCATTGTGCCTGGTGAAGCAGACAGCAGCTCTCTACAAAAGGAGTTCTCAAGCGATCCTGAGCAAAAAGGCAGATTATCTTTAATGACAGGACTTTGGGATCTTTGGAAAACCGAGGAGTCCATATATTTTTAAAAAACTTTTAGTTTGTTTCTGTTGTTATTCTGATTGGCTACCCTCACCCTTCCATTAGAATGTGACCTTGAAACCAAGACTCTTGTTAACTACCTGTAGAGTCTGTCCTCATAGGTGCTCAACAAATATGATTAAAAATGTCTACGTTACAACAGTAGTATTTATATAATGTAATTGCATTTCCAGTGTACAATACAAGGGATACGGCAAGTTTTTCTGCCAGTATGATTCTCTGATTACAAATTACTCCTCTAAAAATTGATGATAATATTAATTTGGAAAGGAATAGATTTTTTTTCCCTCTAAAGTATGACATTATGATGTATAAATTTCCCTTTTTGCCTTGCCCAGGTATCATTTAGCACTATTACCTTTAAGACCTGACCATATGGCCACAGTAGGTACAGACAGTGATCCCATATGCCCAAATAGCAAATATTTGACTTTAACTTAGTAACTAGACAGGCTAAAGAGCAGGTACCTTGGCAATCTTACGGTACTTAAGTCCACCAGTGAATTATCCACTAACCAGAGGGTTTCAACTCGAATTAGTCTTCTAAGAATCCTGTTAAAATTTGCAACTTGATAAGGGTCCCCCAGATCCTGAAATGAAAGGTTCAAATTCTGAAGGGAAAAATAAATAAAAAGTAAAAGCAAGTTCTTTTATCAACTTTTAAAAATAGTTATTAATTAAAAATGTGTTGTATATGTTATTTAAACCAGTAGTTTTTTGGTGTGCATACTAAAACACACATCCAAACACTCACAATTATGTGGCAGAAATTCATTGTCAAGGTAGGGGAGGTGAAGATCCTGACCTGATCCTGATTAGAATTACATACAAGGTTGGAGGTGGGGAAGGCAGGATCCTGAAACTGATTCTGAAATTTTCTAAGGGTAAAGAGTGGAAGGGATAAAATTCTGTTTTGGAATTACTGATTTAAATGATTAGTTATTCCTAGCCTCCTTGGAAATACTCAAAAATCACATTTGAAAAGATTTCATCCCATCCTACCCCTGTGCTAACTTGTCTTCCGTGTATTATGAAATTATTGTTGTCCCCCCTTTTCTTCTTAAAAAATGACACCTAAAAATAATAATTAAAAGATTTCAAAGCAAGATACCATCATTCAAAAGATGGAAGCTATTATTTTGTTTTAAAGTAGCTAGGGATACATACGTAAAAATGACTTTACCACATTTAACAGATACTAGATATTTTATTTTTGCTTTTAACATCAGTCAGCTTTGATATAAAGAAAATTAAAACCACTTTTGGTGGCAGCATTGCCCTTGTAAACTTTATTCTTAAAAGTCAACTTATTTTATTTCCACAATTTTGCCATCAATTTCTTTTTTAAATTTTTTAAAATTTTGTTTTATTATATTATGTTAGTCATCATACATTACATCATTAGTTTTTGATGTAGTGTTCCATGATCATTGTTTGTGTATAACACCCAGTGCTCCATGCAGAACGTGCCCTCTTTAATACCCATCACCAGGCTAACCCAATGCCCCACCCCCCTCCCCTCTAGAACCCTCAGTTTGTTTCTCAGAGTCCATAGCCTCTCATGGTTCGTCTCCCCTTCCGATTCCCCGCCCTTCATTTTCCCCTTCCTACTTCTTTCAATAAAATTATTGAATAAAATGGCAATCCCCTTTTAAAAAAATTTGAATCAAAATAATTTACTATTTTTTTAAAGATTTTATTTATTTATTTGACAGAGAGAGAGAGAACACAAGCAGGGGGAGCGGGAGAGGGAGAAGCAGGCTCTCGCTGAGCAGGGAGCCCAATCCTGGGCTCGATCCCAGGGCTCTGGGATCACGAAGGCAGACGCTTAACCGACTGAGCCACCCAGGTGCCCCAATAATTTACTATTTTAAAGAAATATAGATATCTCTATCTTTAAAAAGATCATTAAGGTCTTAAAATTTTTAGACATTAAACATAAACTTTGATACTTTAAGTTCCATTTTCCAAAAGTATAAAAGGTCTTAATTTTGAAATAAAACTTAAGAAATGATAAGTGATTATATCTATCTCTATATTGAATGTCACCTCCTCAGGCTTTTTTTGGACCACTATGTTCCAATTAAGTTTTCTATGGTAGTTAGAATTTATTTAGCCCTTCTCTTAGAGTACAGTTATCTGAAAGCCAATTAAATTTTCTATGATAATTTATTAGGAAGGTTCCACTGGCCTTTACAATATATCCATAGTTTAAATGGCAGCTATAAAGAATGAATGCATATATATATTGAAATGATTACCTCTAAAGGTAGTTCTGGGAATGGAGGTCAAAGTTTCAGGTATATCGTTTAAATTTTTTAAACAAATAAATAGGTGTACGGTTTAATTTTTAAGAGTACAATGTATCTACCCATTATATATGAAAATTTTAAATTAATTTTAAAAGGAAAAGAGAGCACCATGCAGGGGAAACAATATTCTACTTTTATATCTTCCACTACCAAGATGTACAACCTTGGGCAAATCATGCCTTTCTGGACTTCCCTTTCCTTTTTGAAAGGAAGGGATTTAGAACAGACCCTCTCTGAAGCTCCTTCCCACCCTCTAATGCCATAAGGCTACAATATCTAAGGTCAAACTGTGAAGAAAAAGAAGCATCAAGAGGCCCCAGTGAGCAGGTTTTAAACTGAGTCTTATTTCTGGAAGACTTCCTAAATTCTTCACGTACACTTTGATCACTCCAAAAGACAAAAATATTGGCATCCCACTCTGTTGCCAAGAAGTTGATTTACTCTTTTATTGCTCGCAACACATCCTTCCCAGTTACACCCTCAGTTCTCTGCCTACCATGACTGGAGCCAGCCGGAATTAGAGGCTTGAGGAACCTCAGTCCCATAGCTTTGTAGCGCCCCGGCTGACGTAGGGCAGGGGCTGTTTCAATGTTAGCGGCTCTGCCAGCTGGGTCCATTTCAGCACCAACAAATCACAGCTCCCGTTTTTCACTGGTAAAAAGCTTTATTTGTTCCTGGATAGTTCTGTTCAGACCAGGCTGGCTGCTCCAGCTGTTCAAACTTTTTGGCTTACTGCATTGTTCAAGGGATTCCAGATTGCATCATAAACTCTTTGATGAGGAATATTGTCCAACATTTGACACTTATTATTATCATCAAAAGGAACAATTTCATTCTCAAGTATTTTAAACTTTTCCGAAGCTCAGCAATAATTAGGATAAGATACAGGTTAGAAAATAAGAAACATGTCATGATGAAGAAGAGGTGAACAAAGAGGTGGAGAAGCCCAAACACCACTAGTTTTAGAGAAAATGGCGAACAAATGCTTAGAGTTTGATACTGCCCGTGGCGGGGGGGGATGTCATAACTGAATCAATGCTGAAAAGAGACTTTTTTCCTGTCTTTTAAGCTCTCACCGTGCAGTCTTCCCAGTTTTCTTGTAGCCATGTTTCCCATTTGTTTTTTTCAAGGACTCTTTTCCGAGCAGGCAAAGTACACTCCTCCTGTCTGAAGAGCAACTCTTCTGTGGAGGGTCCTGGGCAAAAATCACAAGGTGAGATCTTGGAAGTAGGTTTATGGTGGCAGGACTGATACCTTCGCTTGATATTTGGCCAGTTGTTTTAAACTTCCACTCGATATCAGGATTGAGGAAAACATGAGTTGGCCCACATTGTGCCCCAAGCGCGTGAGCAGTAACAAAATAAGTTAACTTTTACCCCTACGGAAAGTATTTCGAACGCAGGTAGGTAAGAAAATCACCAGTAGAGTGATTTTAGTCTTCATATAATTTTCTCTTTGGGGATGTGACTCATGACTTTCCCTCTCTTGTCTCTCGACTCAATTAGCCACTTGGTTCCGTCACTTCCCCCTTGAGAATCCGCCCCGCTTCTCTTCAGTGTCTAGACCCTCGTATCTCCCTACCTGAACTATAGCTCCTTTCTCCTGGATCACCTTGTTGGCAATCATCTCTCCTTCAATATAAATGACACACATGGCCATCCAGCTTTCCTAAAACAGAGCTTTTGCCACACTCATGTGTTTAAAACATTTCAGAATTTCTCACTGCCTACCAGTTAGAGATGGAAAATTCCAGCTTGCCAAGCAAGGTTTTCCACAATCTTATCTCAGTCTCCATTTCCAAATTCATTTCCCACTATTTCCTAATCCTGCTGTCCTCCAAATCAGGCTTGCACAAGATTTCCATGGTTAGGGAAAGGAGATCCTGTCTGCCGTCTGAGGTTGGGTGCTAGGTGATTGTGTGACTCCAGATGACTAATTTTAATTTTCTGCGCTTTAGTCTTCCATAGCTGCCTAAATACAGGGAAGACTAGCATCAAGAGCCCAACATCAGCTGAGTACGATGAGAAATTATGTTTGTTTGAAGTTCATAATGCTTTATAAAAGTACTGATAAAATGTATTTCTCTCTGAGAAATTACAGCTCTATTGTGTTACCCAGGCAAACTTCAGTCTGTTGTGATGTTAACCGGACCCCTGACAGCAATCCTAAGCTCAGTGATTTCAATTCCCTCCCAGTTCCAGCATCTCTGTTTCCATGAGTCCTACCCGGTACCATTTGTGCACCCTTCCCTGTCTACATTTTTCTGGAATGTGTGATTCTCAGTTCAGAGGTGAAAAGAAAGAGTTATACTAAAGAGGTTACTACAGGCATCAGGAACAAACTTTGCTTTTGTGACAGTCTTGTCTGGGCTCTGATGGGAGATAATGAGTCCGTTTGTGAAGGATTTATGGAAGGCAATAAAAGAGTCCAATACTTTATTATTTTGACACAAATATCAGTTCTTTCCTCAGACGCAGGTGGAGGTCGATGTGCAACCTGACCTTTCAGGCATTTCTCTCATAATGAACTGTACTGTTGCCACCCAGGAAATCACATAACCCTGAAGTATCCTAACAATAAAACATCCTTGTGTTAAGAAATGTTCTTCTTCATTGATTAGGCTGATTGGAATTAAAAGTCATAGAATTGGAAAAACTAGACGATCATCTAATTGACTGGGTAGACCTCAGGCTCTACTGTCTGTAATACGACTGCCCCCAAATTTGGTAGCTTACTTTGTGCAACAGATACCCCCAGAGTTATTAAACTCTGCCCTATATTGTTTGTTTGAGTTCTATCGATCTTCTGCTCTTCCAGTTATTTTTTTAAAGCAGCTTTCAAAGATTTCTTTGAAGTTGGAAGCCAAAGGTCACTTCCACTGTGAGGAGTTATATTCAACTGGATTCTTTCTTTTTAAAACTCAGACATGGTTGATAATTGAAGATATATCTTGGCAGTTTAAAACTATAGTCTGGAATCTCTGACAGCCCTGGAATGTTTGCTTTCTCCTGCTATCTCTGAATTTGTTCTTTGTCCCCTCACTGGATTTGTAACTCAGCAGAAGTGACTGAATTAACTTGCTGAGGGATTTTCAAGTAGAAAGCATCTATAGTTTAAAAGAATTCTGCCAACAGTTGGCTCTTTTGCTTCATTTAATTGGGAGGAGTTAAGTCAGTCTTGATCTGGCCATCAAAGCCTTGGGAAATTGCTGTTTATCACACACCAGATAACCTTTCTTCTCTTAAGAACTCTTCCCAGGTGTACAACTGAGATGAACTGAAGTAGTTTTGATGGGTGTTTCAGGATCTAATCTAGAAGAAGGGTAATTGTTATTAGAATGCTTTTGAGAAGCACTTGTTCTCCATCTCACACATGCACAAACAAAACTTAAACAAAATGAAAGGCGATGAACAAGGGACATCTATGTTCTTCACAGTTCAAGGTGGTGGGATGTTCCAATGTTTTCCATCCCCTAGATCATGCTCCATTCCTTTTACAACTAGTCACTTGCGAGAGATTGGGTTTTGTTAATGGTCTATGGAAGGAAAACGTGCCTTATCTGCAGAGCAATGGTGTCCTCTGCATGACTGGCCACCGTGGTCCTTATGTGGGATTGGCTTTGTTGACTGATGGCCTCAGCACATGACCTGGCACTTAAATCAGGGAAGCAGGGAGGCCATTGGACTCTCTTTACACATACTCATTTTCAGTTTACTCCTATATTTTATTCCCAATGTCTTCAGTTTGGCAGTTCCCTCTAAACTTCAACTCTCCACCCATGCTCAGAATACAATTTCTTTTTGCCTCATTAGAGCACAACCATCAACCATCAACCACCATACCACCACCACCACCACCACACACGCGCGTGTACACACACACAAATGCCAAAACCTTTATTGTATCAATCTTTTCACTTTCAGTTCCAATTTCTTCCCTTCAAACTTCCTAAACTAGCGTTTCTCATACTGCGGCCCTCAGATCATCTGTAACAGAATTTCTTGATAATTTTACAATTATCAAATTTCTGGGCCCCCTTCATACTAATTACATCAGATTCTTTGAGAGAAGGTCTTGGAAAAGTGCATTTTCTACAAGCCTGTGGGTGATCTGTCCTGACACTAGAGTTTAAGAACCAGCTGAACCCTGCCCACCTGGTCCCTGATATAGCCATCTCTTCCTTTTTGCCTGTAGACTTCTTACTCATGTGACACACATGGTCTCCACTACTTTTGGTCTCCGTTCTTCCTAATTCCCCGTAATTTCTGGCTCTTTGAAAAATATTCTCTCTCAGGTCCCCACAGGACAACTTGAGTTTACCTCTAGTAGTACTATCTACTAATATTTTAAAAATAGGAGTCAATACTTAGCTGCAAACTGAGCTGACAGAGTTGAAACATAAGAACATATTTTATTCAATGTTTCAGAAAATGATGCTCTTGTAACCTGCCTTTGTCAACTGAGTTTGAGTGAAAGAAGAAAGGCATTGTGTGGTAAAGTAATGCCATTGAGAGAGGGAAATGAGCAGGTGAATATTTAAAGCAACTTGTTCTAAATCAATATTACAATTGTACAATATACAATATAACGGCAAATCTGCAAATACAGGTGGAAGATAGCCAAGATATTTGATGTTTTATAAAGACTAAATACTGGAGCCAGAATTACATCTAATATTATCTCATCAGCTTATAGGATATGCAAAAGAGACATGAGAAATGCATGGTGCCTGTTCTTACATAATATAGAATCTATTGAAAGCTACTTATAAAAAAATCAAACATTATGTATTAGGGTCTACAGATAACAATTCTTCATACTGTCACACTAGTACACTTATAAAATCTGATAGAATGAAAAGGAATAGTAAAATATTGGTTTGTTCTACCAAACTTAAAATGCTTAGTGAAAATATAAAATGAAACTATCCGGTTTATTTAGATTCCCACTTGGTGTTTTAAAAACCAATGGGTAGAATTAAATCAGGTTAAAGTTATTCATTGAAGTGACAGTGTCATTCATGATCATGAAATATTGTAAATAAACGAAAATTCCAACAAAGATCATTGGTTAAATATATTTAATAATATCCATATGATGGAGAAATATGCAACCTTTAAAAACCACATTTTGGGTAATGTTTAATAACATAGAAGAAATGCTCACAATAACAAGATAAGTGGAAAAACTCAAGAAACAAAATTGTACAATTTTGTAGGGAAGTATGTGTATATACTTTTCAAAAAAGACTAAATGGAAATAAAAGTCACAGTGGTTATTTCTGGATGGTGGAATTACAGATTCTTTTTTATCTTTCTATTTTTCCAGGACTTAATACTGAACATTTATTATTTATATAATCAGATATATGAATGTTCTTTAAAGTGGCTTCACTAGCTATATTAGTAATTCTATGGTCTTGAAAAAGGAAATTTTTCTATCTCTAAGTAGTATCTTTTTCCCCCAAGTAATGTTTTTCATCCACAAATAAAATCTACTCAGAGCACATACACAAAGATACACATATTTGTTCTTTACCTTCTCTTACTCTTGGGCAACGCAGTTGACTTCCTTGAATGTCATGTTGTTCTACCTTGTGCCAAGTGAGGTACTTAAAAGAGTCTGATGGAAGCTTTAAAATAAGAGAGAAGAGAAATAGCATCTGGCAATATGTGATTCATTTACTTTTATGTGTAAAAGTAACACAAATCATTGCCAAACATTCAGCCAAATTGAACTCCAAGTACCTAACGGTGTCCTTATAGAAGTCACTTTAGTTCATTCTAAATTATATTTAATGGTAAATGACAACAGAAATACATATGTGTACCCATTCATGGATCCACTTTACACTACCTCTGATAAATCATCCTTTAATATTTATTGAATGTATATTAGGGGCTACAGATAACAATGCTTCATACTGGTAACACTAGTACATTTATAAAATCTGATAGAATATAAAGGAGTAATACAACATTGGTTTATTCTACCAAATTTAAAATGCTTAATAAAATTATAAAATTTATAAAATTACCTGGTTTATTTAGACTGAGAAATCTCATTCCATTTCCCACTTTATAACAGTTCTAATTGTTGAAGTTACTTTATTGTATGGGCCCCATAGCCTCTTTAACTTGCTCCAGTTGTGAAAGTTCTGCCTTTTGAGGCTACACAGAAGCCACACATGTCTACTATGTTAAGTGTTTGTAACAGTTGTCATCTTCTTCCTAAGTCATACAATTCTTACAGATCGTGGTTTATAGATTATTAACTATCCAACAAGAACATATGATTCTCCTTGGGAAGAGTTCCAATTTATTGACATTCCTCTTAAAATGTGTAGCCAGTAGTGAATGAAATATTTCAGGTCTAGTCATCTTCCTTGTTCCGGACAGTATATTACTGACCAGAATATGTGCCAAGACCATATTTGGGGCAATTTTATATTGTTTACTATTATTGAAGTTGTAGTCAATCAAAATTCCCTGTATCTTACATAGCTTATGATAGTTTCAAATTTAACACAAACAAAAGGCATACTACTCAGAAAAGAGCATTATGTTAAATACACCACAGATTCAATCTCCAGTTAGCCAGTTTTGTACACATAGACAAACAGCCCCAGAATATTTGACATAAAGAAAGGTCATTAGGGTATTTGGAACAACTCCTTTCATCTCACAGAGCAACATTTCACATAGCTTATGTTTTGCTTGAGCTGTAAATTTGTGTGTCTAATACCAACAAAAAATATTTCCACCACTGAATAAGCTTATGAGGCTCTGGATTAAACTAAGTTAAGCGTTTCTCTTTGTTACAGGACTCCGCAGAGCCTGTCTATGCTAATATACATTGTGAGTCTATATTCACAAAGTGTTCCCCTGGACTTTTAAATCATAGAACCTTTTATTCTTGGAGCAGCACACGGATCTCATGCATTTTGTGAAGCAGAATTTGGAGCATGCTGACTCAAAATAAATTGAGAGGAGGTGGCTTTCTAATAAGCATTTATTTTTGATTTTTGATCTTTATTGCTTACTCACTGAATGACCATGGTGGTGCCAGTATTTCAATGTCTTCATTTAAAGAATAGAACTAATAACAAAAGCTCTCTACCTTATTAATAGCAACATGAAAAAGCTAATTAATGCTTGAGCAATTCTTTGAGAAAATCTGAGGATTTGCTAACATGCTTTCAAGGAATTCACTCATTCTTTAGAAATAGACTTTAAAAAACCAAGAAGCACAAATTTAAGGTTATAGAGGAATGTGGTCCCTGGACTATTCTTGGTCATTCAGTTCACAAGTTTATGGAAGCTTTTTCCCCAACTTCCAATGTGCTTTTGGATTTTTTTTTCCTTGCTTCTATCATAGAATAAAAATTTCTTAGAAGTTAAACTCCCTGGAGTTGCCACACCCCATTGCCTTTTTGTGCTATTTCATGATGGTCTTACTGGGAAGAAAAAGAACCTAACCTAAAGCTGTGTTTGAGAAGAAAGTTTCCATTTTTCAACTGTCAGTCAATTTTGTACAAAACTGTTTGCTTTTTAAAGGAGGTATGTGGTTGATTTCACAATTTCTGACCTTGTAGGAAAATGAGCCATTGCATTTTTTTGTTTATATTTCTGTAAGGTTGTCAATGTGCTGCAGTTGAGTGACTGTTGCTTCTTCCTAAAGGAATAGTGAATATTTGTGTCTTTTTGTTTTTCCTTTTTTTTTTTTTTAAAGATTTTATTTATTCATTTGAGACAGAGATACAGAGAGAGACAGAGCATGAGCAGGGGGAGAGACAGAGGGAGAGGGAGAAGCAGGCTCCCTGCTGAGCAGGGAGCCTGATGCAGGACTCGATCCCAGGACCCTGGGATCGTGACCTGAGCCGAAGGCAGATGCTTAACCATCTGAGCCACCCAGGTGCCCCTGTTTTTCCTTTTTTAATTCTGATGGACCAAGTGATTAATCCATTGGTTCAATAAATATTTTCAAAGTTGGTATGCTTCATTTTATTTCATTCATTTATTCAAAAATATATACTGTGCCCTGCTGTGTATCAGGCACCAGGGATTTAAAGTTAAATAAAATATGGCATTTGTGCTTGAAAAACTCATTTTCTATAATTTGGGAGGCAGATATTTGACTCATCTGGATCCGATGTTGGATAGATGGAACAATGATAAATAAAGGAAAGGAGGGAAAATCACGCATGGTTCCACTGAGATGGGTTAGGAAAAAGTCTTGGAAGTGGTGAGTTTGGAAGGAAAAAAAATGTATTTTGTGGACAAAGGACATTCCAGAAGGAAAGGAGATAAATCTTAGACTAGAGACAGAATCTGAACGCAGAGGTGGGGAGAGGAAGGCATGCCATTTCTGTTTTTGTGGTCATTACCTTTTCTATTCATCTCCACCTTTGTCTTCCTTCCTCCATTCCAGCTTCTTTCCATCTCCTCTCAGAGTTGGGACTGAGAGTATCAACCTTTCATTCCTCCCCAGTTACAAGGGTAGATTTAAGAAGCTTATACACTTAATAAAAAATGTTCAATATAAGATAAAGTACATTTTATAAACTTAGCCCTATGTAAAGAGCTAATTAAGCATATTTACCAGGGATGATATTCCAGAATCCGAACGTGGATGAAATGTTCTGTTCCTTGTCAGAGCTGACCGAGTGTGTGACTCACTCGGATCAGAGAAGGACGATGAACTAGACGGGCAAATCTGACTGCTTGTGTTTCGACCTGAGGAGCTGAGCGAAAGAAAATGTTCAGAGTGTTTGTGCATCTCTTTTAAAATCTTTAACTGTAAATACCTTTGTGTATAACAGCAGTAGCAACGCATAATAAGCAGCATCTTTTCCATCTAGAGGATAATTGATGTCCTAGAAATTTACCTAGATCTCAGAAGGACTTTGACATCTTGTCTTAGCCCTAAGCACATTTTTATGGCTAATAGTCACTTAAGGCAGATTCTCCCCCAAAAGGCAAGAGGGCCTAGTGGACTGCCTGTGCTAGAAAAGTAAATCTAATGGTACACACAAATGCACATGCATGCTTCTAAGATATGAATGAGGAGGTTAGCGCTCATAGGAAGACATCTTTCTTAGTGGAGCTCCAGTAGCTGATCTGGTACAGCATCCTTCAACTCTCGATTGGTTTCCTCGTTAATCTGGCCCTTACAAATTTTCCCCAAACCTCTTAACATTTCTACAGATTGGTGGGAAACAAATTAAAAAGTCAGGTTCTCTAATCAATTTTACTCACTTTGGAAGACTATTCAAGCATTTTGCTTAGCAACAGTCCAGCGCTCTCTGTATCCTCATTTTTATGCCCCTGAGACATAAAACGTCTTTTCTGCTCTCCTAGTAATTCTCTGGTTTATTATTCATTGTTTTTCTTACACTTTTCCATATCTCTTCAGTAATAGTTACAAGTTTCTCTTTCTGTAATTGGTGCTGTACATTATTTTAAGCCAATTTTAAAATAATTTCTAAATATTGCTTTTTCATTTAAGTAAAACTAGAAATCATATCTGTCTTTATTTCTGGCCTCTTTTTGCTCTTGGTAGATCATTTTTCAGGCTCCAAGAATCTTAAGAGATGACCTTCTATATTTTATGGCACAATTATTATGCCTCCATAGCAATTTCGCTTTAAGAAACCACATGTCTCTTGTATATGAGGTTGCCTTCATAAAGTACAACATAGAAATATCTTTTATTTTTCATGTATTAACTAAGCTGATACGGTAGAAAAGCATAGCCACTACATCATATTCCAAAAATAGCACCACTGTGGCATTAAAAAAATAAAACAACTGTGACCTATTATCAAAGAGAAAATTATTCCTCCATCTGCAACTAAAGAGCAAATCAAGAATTTGGTCTTAATAATGTGCAAAAGCCAAAAAATGTATGTTTCTCATATTTTTCCCACATGAGCAATTCATTAATAGTTTGGATATTGTTTCTTGAAATTCCCAATGTGTGTCTTGCCACTTAAACAAACTAACAAGCATTAGAAGAACAACAGCAAATTATGCGAAATTTATTATTCCCTGAGACAGGTATATCCCATGATCGATAACTGGAGTTTTGGCCAACAATCAGGGAGAAAAAATTGGGAGAAAATGGAATAATATATCGGGATAAACAGAGGGTGAAAGTTTAGTTGAGTTTTTGGTTCATTTGTCTTCATTAAAATATGCTGGGTGATTTTCTGCCAAAAATGAAATCAGGAAACTAGATAGTGGACATGGCTGAATCTTTCATCAGTGACTATTGTCTTGTTACTCCAAACTCCAGTGACGGTTACACAGTGGTAATAAAATAATCTAGACGTTTCCTTCTCTCTTTTTTTTTTTTTAATTTGAAGTATGAGAAATGGTCATAGTTTGCTTATACAGTCTCTCCAAAGAAAGCACAGAGGAAACACAATAAAGTCATATAATTAAAGAATCTGACAAGAGAGATCCAGTTGATTGGGTTTTTATTGTCCTTTTCTTGTGCAGTGCTACAGGCTAAGTACAACCGTTTCAAGGTGAAATTCAGTTTAAAAATAACTGAAAATTATATCATCTTAGTTTACATTAGATGATTTGGGGATTTAAACTAGAAGACCTCTTCATGCCATTATCCTTATGACTACTAGACATTTATTAATAATAGAAGGTAATTAAACCTTGGTAACACAAGTAAATAGGCTGATAACATCCCCAGTGTGTGTGTGTGTGTGTGTGTGTGTGTGTGTGTGTGTGTGTGCGTGTGTGTGTTCTTCCCCAGAATGAGCTGAAGTATGGTCCAGAGTTTCATCCATGGGCAGGTTATCTGAGAAGATTCTAACCAATAGATGACTAACCTGAGTGTCTTTCAGTGTGAAAACTTTCCTTAAGCTCCAAAGTCTAGTTGCTATCCCTCACATCCTCATATTGCTCCGGGCACCACACCAGGGTGCAGTGTCTGAAGGGCAGTGTGCTGGAATCTTGTGGTGGAAACCTTAGGGGTATTCTCTAAATCTTCTTTGTTCTGTTTCTTCAGAACTAAATGCTAGAAGAAAATTGCCATGGACTCTAGAGCATTAATTCTGGATGAAAGGAGATACTATTCTAGCCTTTCTTATTTCTTTGACCATTCTTTCTTTTCATTTTTTAATTGGTTTAAATCCAGAATCCTTGTGTTCTGTCTATATTTTACCCATTTGTATTATGGGAATAATAGAGATAATAGAAATATTCTGGGGGCACCTGGGTGGGATTTGGGAGAAGTGACCTTGGCTAACTGAAAAATAACACTGAGCTTCTTTCTTCCTAAGTACAAACTTTTCGTGATGCAGCAATGAATATAAATGGAATGCTTAGAAACTGAGTCATACAAATACAATTCAGACATCCCTAGGTGTCTGAAAGGAGTCCCCTGGCCTTTTGTATGTGGGTGCCCAACAATCTTTCAACTCAGGAGCTCAGCTTCTCCTCAGAAATTAGACCATCTGCCACTTCCTCCTTCACTCGCCTTACAAAGTTACATAATCACCAACTTGACACTTTAATTAGACAGATAGCACCCATTGTGGCCGACAATTTATGAGGCATATAAATTCATGACTGTAAAGGACGTTACAGTCTTCTGATGGAAGGTGCTCATGAATTGATAAGTTACATTATTGTTGCTTTTTATCCAGCAGTCTCAGCTCACCTGATTCCTTCTCGTTGGTCATTCTACACTTTTTAAAACCAAGAATAGATGGCCAATTCAGATAATGCCATCTATTTTAAAGACACTATAAATCATGATTGACAAATGCTGTAGTTTTAGCCATGGCACCTCCTCTGTGGCAGCTTTATATTGGAGCATTAATAAAATTAATTTCTCTTTCATAAGGGTTTAGATTTGTAATTTATGATAACTGTTCGCTGCAGGCAGAAAGATTAAAAGTGAGTAAACCAATATACCAACTAAACTGCATGTGTCTGGTTTTATTTTCTTTTGTGGAGGGGAGATAGGAGAGGGTTTTAAAAACAGCTTGATGTTATCTGAAATGCTGTTCTCATAGGTTCTACTACGCGAGGCTTAACTTTTGTTTTCAGTAAATAATAGCTGCTCAGATTTACATGTTCTATTAACTAGTGCAATTATTTATATGTGGTTAAGCGGAGCAATCAGAATAAGAAAATCGGTATTAATGATTTCCCTTCATAACAACTGCACCCTAATAATGACAGAGCTTTGCCGTTATTTAAAGAATTACAAAAGCTTATATGAATCTAATTTGAATCCTAGTGGTTAAGAGCTCTTGGTCATTTACTCATGTGCCTTGAGCAAGTTATGCCACCTTTCTGTGCCTCAGCTTCTTCATCTATAAAATAAGAATGTTTATTATGTTATAAGCAAAATAATAATGTTTATCAAAATCATCACCACTTCATTTGGTGACTGTGATGCATAATAAAGCCATTGGTACAGTGCCTAGAACATAGTAAGTGCTTTTTTTTTTAAAGTATTTATTTATTTGAGAAGGAGAGACAGAGACAGAACAGGAGGAGGGGCAGAGGGAGAGAGAGAATCCCAAGCAGACTCCTGCTGAGCCCAGAGCTTGACACAGGGCTCGATCTCACGACCCTGAGACCATGACCTGAGCCGAAACCAAGAGTCGGGCGCTCAACTGACTGAGCCACCCAGACATCCTTAGCAAGTGTTTAATAAATGTGAACTACAAAATCATTATATTTGTAGTAGTGATAGTTGTCATCACAGCAGTAATGTTACAAAACAACCCTATTAGTCAGAGTCTCCATCATCTTCTGATTATTAAAAATAAGGAACTGTCCATTAGAGATGTGAAGTGCCTTGCCCAAGGTACCAGAGGTATCTGCTCCTTGGATTCCCAGCACTTACAGCTCTTGCAGGGGTGACTTCAGTGATGTGCACATTAAGACAGTCTCGGATGAAGTGGAAGTCTGAGTTAGTTGCATAACCTGTAAGATGCCCCATTTTTTTTTAAAGACTCAGAAATTATCTTATTTTGCTGAGATTTCTCCAAAAAAAGCAGACCAAAGAAAATTTTTATTTGAAATTGAAGACAGAGGGGCACCTGGGTGGCTCAGTCGTTAAGCATCTACCTTCGGCTCAGGTCATGATCCCAGTGTCCTGGGATCGAGCTCAGAGGGGAGCCTGCTTCTCCCTCTCCCTCTGCCTCTCCCCTTGCTTGTGCTCGCTCTATCTCTCTCTCTCAAATGAATAAATAAAATCTTAAAAAAAATAAATACTCTGAATAGAATTCTCATAAAGTCAGAGGAAATCTGATATGAGTTCATTTCTAAAATGGCAAATCGGGTATACCAGTTTTTTAAATTTCTGATGGCTCGAAATGAAGTTCCTGACTAAACCCATAATTGAGTAAATAATAATATATCAATAAAATGTAGGGGTGGAAAACTTTCCCCTTCTTTTCTAGGTTCTTTGTCTGGTCTTACAGTTAAGTTGACATAAGAGAAATTAACAGGAGAAAGCAAATTTAACTTCATATGTGCGGGAGCCCAATGAAAATATGAGACTCAAAGAAATGACCAAATTAGGCAACTTTATACCTCCTAGACTAAGAAATAATAAATTTTTGAAGAATTGACAAGTCAAGGAAGTTTGAGCTTGGTGTAGTAAATATTTGTTTGTACACCCTTCTTGGCCTTAAATTCTCTGTCTCTGGTGATAACAATGCCTTCCACCCTCCTGATCCAGGGAGGATACCCTCGCATGGGAGATTTATTTCCTGCTTTCAGGAAGACAAAAGAGGATCAGAGTGTCCTTCTTGCACCAGCTATTTCTTAACTAACTTTATTTAAAATAATCATTATGCCAAAGTAGCATATTTTGGGTGGCATATTCTTCTCCCCTTCAGTGTTGCTCCAAAAAACTATGTGTTTTACAGATATTCCAAAAGTATCTCAGTACCCTCAACCTGGAATTTTTTTTTTTTAAAGATTTTATTTATTTATTTGAGAGAGAGAGAATGAGAGATAGAGAGCACGAGAGGGAAGAGGGTCAGAGGGAGAAGCAGACTCCCTGCTGAGCAGGAAGCCCGATGTGGGACTCGATCCTGGGACTCCAGGATCATGACCTGAGCCGAAGGCAGTCACTTAACCAACTGAGCCACCCAGGCGCCCGCCCTCAACCTGGAATTTTAACAAGTATATCTTAAATTATTTAGATTGTAAAACCATATAACAATATATTTGGAAAAAGCACAACTAGAATTGTCATTTCTCGTCTTCTGTCTGAATGAGTCAGATTTAAATTTTATGTGAACTTAAAATCTTTAAATTTTGCGGTTTTATACAGGATACATTTTCATCCTGTTCTTCAGCTCCGTGAACATTCTTATAAACACAAATAGGCCCCCCAAATTAAGGTACAACAAAAGTAAAAGAACAAACTTCTCCAGGGGGAAAGCTTGTAAACTTCAATAACCAGTAGTGGGTTCACTGACATTTATGGAAGCATAGATATATTTAAATGCCAGAAGCAATGAAGAGAAAGAGATTGAGATAACTCAGTGTTCCCTCTACAAGATGATATTTAGAAATTTTGAGAACTTTATTGTAAACACATATGTAGCTGCTACTTAGAAGGTTTTCAATGCTTGAAGAATGTTTTACTGTGCTATATGCTGTTATAATAGAAAATTCAATCGCTACACACTACAAGAGAGAAGAATAGACACACTACGGGATAATAAGGGATTGAGGTGGATCTTGTGAACAGGGAAAAAAACAATAAAATCCCAGGTGAAACCGACTGTATATGAGGAAAGTAGTATGAACAAGACTCTTGTTTCATGATGTGCAGAAATGTGATTGAACAAATAATAGCACTGATAAATGTTTTTTTCTTTTGCTTTCTTTTTTCCTTCTCTTCCAACCTACCTTCCTTCCCTCCTTCCTTCCTTCCTTTCTTCAAAATTTAAAGATTAAAGTTTAAATTGGACATCACTTTTCACACTGTATCTAAAATAATTCTATAGATATTTACTCATTTAAAAGTAATAATATTGATCATAAATACCATTTTATACAGAGCTCACAAATAAGTCTCCTCTGGTATTGTGTATTAAAGGGTGTTAGCAAGTGGGGGAAAATAAAGTATATGAGGTTTCGCAGAACTTCTTACCCATTTAAAAACTATTATTTCACATGTACATTTCTCCAAATTATGACACAGTTTCAGTATTAAAGTCAACAACATCGAGGCACTGTTTGAGATGTACACAGCTTGTTAACAAAAAAGAACTTTGGTAAGGGAACTGCTTCAGTCTCTAAACCCCACACCTGAGCATGATTCCTCTCTTAGCTGTAGGCAGTAAGTGGCAGCTATCATTAAGTTCCACGTACTCATATGAAACCACAGTGTACCTAATCCTGAAAATTCAATGGCAAATGTCATTTTTTGAAAGATGAGAGCCAAGTTACGCACCAACATAAAGACAAAAAAAGTTCAAGAAACTTGCAACCCCTTTAATTGTATATTGTCTAATAATTGGCATGTTTTGAGAAACATTTATGAAACAGCTATGCAATTTAAAAGTGAGGAAACAAGGATTGGGTTTTGGTCTCTTAATCTGATTTTTGGCTTTATTGAGCTAGTAAAAGTCCGGCTTTTGTGGTAATAACTTCATTTAAATTTGATTAGTTAGTATACATTAACTAATATTAACTAATAACTAATAGATGTTAACTAACAACTGTTTACTTTTGATTTTCTTGCCTATCTTTCTCCTGCAGTTCTTGCATGCTCTCCCAAAGAGCCCTGCGTATTTATAGACATACCCATTGGCTCAAACAGTTATGGCCACCTCTCTCTGCCTCAATGACCAACTGAATTGCATTTGTAAATAGTTGCATGGTGTTAGGAGAGAGGGTGGCAGTAGGGTTTGCCTCTGTCTCAAAGCAGTCCTCATCAGTAATACACGGTGCATGACTTTATATTTTTAAATGAAATTTAATCCAGTAACCCTTTCTAGGTTTGTTTTCTCTCAAGTAATGTCTAAAGTTCCTTTTAACGTTTTGTTTTTCTTACCTTTCGGACATGTCTTGCTCTGGCCCTCATAAAGCTATTTTTCCAAAGACATTTTTCATCATGTTCCCAGGAGGGGATATGAGAGCTGTCCACCAAGAATCTGCTGCCTCTTTTGGGGGTCTTCCATGTATTCACTATGACCGAGGAAACAAGCTGTTACCTAGCAACCTGGCCTTTCAGAAGGTATTGTTACCAATCTCTTAGAGCTCATCAAAGGAATTCTCATGCTACTGGAGCAGCATAGCAGTGAGCATTGTTTCCAGGGAGTTGTCTACATTGTGGTATAACTGAACCTTGACTATAGAAACATAAATGAAAGCAGAGGGAACAAACCTCTATGGATCCCTGAAAACTGCCGTCTTCAGTTCCAGTATTTCATGAATTGTTCGCATCCAGCTTGGGTTTAGCCAAAGTGGTACTTGTGCACTATATCCCTCAGTATTTGGTTTTTTGCTTCTCTTCTGTAGTTTCAGAACTAGCAGAAGGAGCAAAAGGGAAATTACCTAACTCCTGCTTGAAACTTGCTCAGATAAAATGGCTTTGAATCGAAGACACAAAATTGTGCACAAAAAAAGAATAATAGATTAATAATAGATTTTTATTTCAAAGCAAATATTTGCAACTTTTCATAGGAAAAAAAGAGAATATTACATTATATTGTATATTCATTGATTGGTCCAACCAGTTTGTTTAGAGTGCCTACTATGTGTATAGTAGAGAACACCGTGAATTTTTAACTTCATGAGCTGATAAAATAAAAGTTTTCTAAATCTTTCCCCAAAATAGAAAAATGTTAGCTGTGTTTTTGAAGACTGAGAATTTGTTGTTTGCCAAAAGCATGGTAAACACTTCCATAGTCTTTCCTGCTTCAGAGAACAAGACATTTAGGGAACGATTTTATTCAAAACCTTTTTTCAAAAGAAGATATTTGGCATGTCTTGGAAAAAGCATCATGTTTATCTTTTCATTCCCTTTTCTCATGGGCAGTAATCCATCCATAGACTGAAAACGTTTCAGTAATCTTATGAATGTGTTTCATATCAAAAGAGTGAAAACATGTTCTCCTCCGCATTAAGTTTCTGTTAGAACTTCAATTTTACATTCCAAATGCTTTAGGCTCAAAGCTAGCATAACAACCTTCCAAGTTAAAAAGTATATATGTAATTTAACATATTTGATAAAGATCCAGAAATTGATTTATTTCTATCCAGGTTAGTATAGTTTTTAAGGAACTATCAAATATCTAAAATAGTACATCTCTTTTTTTTTTTCCATGAGAAGGGCAGAGATGCCAAATATCAGGCATCTCTTTTACCCTTGACTTTTCTAAGCATCCTTGGAATTTCCCCAAGTCAACAATGTAGACCAATATTATCCCAAAATGAATTAATTAAGGTAAGTAAATCACAACCTGTCTTAATTTATCTTTTTAGCTTTATAGCCCATAGTAACTACTCTGTTCTTCCACTGCCTCAAGCAAAAGCTCTGTAATACCCCAGGGGTTCATTTCTGACTTTGTCAGACTCCCTGGATCCTTTCTCTCCCCTAGTCTCCCAGATGATTCTCATACCGTCTCCTCTCTCTCTTCTACCTCATGATCTCCAACTCATCCTTATTCTCACCAGAACAATCAGAAAAGAATTTCCACTGGCACCATCATCCATTCATCCACCAGTTCTCATTTACCTGCCCATTTGCTCTGCTTTTCCCACATTAACAGTTATGACTTATCAATGCTTCTGTCTCCCTTCATGGACTCGATCCTATCCCTTCATCTTTCCTCAAGGCCATTGATCCAGACATTCTTCTACATCACTAATTTGTCCTCTCTACTGAATAATTCCCACAAAGATACAAACATGCTGTAATTTTTTCCCATTTAAAACAGAAACAAAACAAAATGAAAAACATTCTTGGGCCCACTTCTCCCTTCAGCTTCCATCCCATTGCTCTACATCCGTCACAGCATGTGGGAAAAGTGTTGAAAGTACTATGCTTGCTGTATCCAGTTCTCCTGGTCTCTCCTGAGCTCATTCAAGTAATCTTTTCACTCCACTACTGCACTGAAACTACATTTGGCAAGGTCACTAATGACTTCAAGTAGCTAAATTCGATGGCCAGCTCCTAGTCCTCATTCCCTTGATCCAACCACTGCATTTGAAACAATGAATTTCTCTCTCTTCTCTGAAGCTTTCTCTTCACTTGGCTTCTAGGACTCCACACTCCACCAGTTTTCTTTCTACTTTATAATCTCCTTCGCTATTCCCTAATCCTCCCCCCACCAGTCTCTTAACATCAGCATGCCCAGACCTCAGTCCTTAGACTACTCACTCCATTAATGATCTTATCCAGGCTCATGGCTTTGAAAACCATCTATATGCTAATGACTCCAAAATTTATAACTCTATCCTAGACCCCTCTCTCTGTCCTGAATCCCAAGCTCATATATTCACCTGTCTACTTTAAGTTCCTCTTGGATATTTTATAGTCCTCTCAATCTTAGCATTTCAAAAATAAACTTCTAAATCTCCTATTTTAATCAGCCCTCTTCATATCCTCCACTTATTCAAACCAAAAATCATGGAATCATCCTCAACCAAAAATCATGGAATCATCCTCAACTACTCTCTTTTCCTTCAATGTCACATCCAATCCCAGATGAAATCCTACAAGCCCTACCTTCAAAATGTATCTAGAATCGGACCACCTCTCACCCATTTCACAACCACTACCCTCATGTGAGACCCCATATTTCTTAACAGTATCATTACAACAGACCCTCTGTAGGTCTTCTGCTTCAGGCAATACCTCCCTGCATTCTATTCTCAAACACAGCACCCAGAGTCACTCTGTTAGTGTACAAGTCATTCTTTTGATCAAAATACTTCAGTGGTTGCCCATTTCACAAAGACAAGATTAGCATCCTCACAATGAGTTACATGGCTCTGATGTATCTGATTTTAAAAAAGAAAAAAAGTAATATTTCAAAATTGAAAGTAGCTTTGATATGTCCCCTAAACAATCAAGGTTTAAACTAAAGTTCTTTGGCAACTCCGAGTGGTTTATGTCAGTTAAGGACAGCTAAGCAGTTGGTACACGCTGTTAGAAAACTAACAGCACAGTAGTTTCCCTGCACACTACTTGATTTTTCTCATGCCAAACACAGTGACTAGAATATCATAGGCATGAAATAAGTATTTGCTAAATCAACAAGGGCAAGTACAGGGTCTAAAGCCATCCTGATGACATGGAAGATGGAGACAGTTCACAGCTGAGAAGTGGTCATTAAGCTGGAGAGTACTTCACAGTAATTATGGGGAAATGTGTGTGTGTTTACATATACATTGCTTCTGGAAAACATTTCAAGAGGCTTCTTTCAGTAGAAAATCACTTTTGTTCCCAACAAATTGACCTGGCAGCTTTAAAAAAAAGAAGTATGTATTTTCCAATAATAGTATGAAGAATAGCTGATGGGGAAACCAGGCAAAATCTGAAAAAAAAAAAAAAATTCCATGGCATGTTTGTAATGTAGATGTATGGGTCTTGCCTCAAATTCCATTGTTTGGGGAAAAAATAATCATATAAAACACTTTCGTTGGGATGCCTGGGTGGCTCAGTAGGTTAAGTGTCTGCCTTTGGCTCAGGTCATGATCTCAGGGTGCTGGAATCGAGGCCCGCGTGGTCCTCCCTGCTTGGCAGCGGGGGGGGCGGTGGTCTGCTTCTCCCTCTGCTCCTCCACCCCACTTCTTTTTTTTAAATTTAATTTTATTATGTTATGTTAATCACCGTACATTACATCATTAGTTTTTGATGTAGTGTTCCATGATTCATTGTTTGCGTACAACACCCAGTGCTCCATTCAATACGTGCCCTCTTTAATACCCATCCCCAGGCTAACCCATCCCCCCACCCCCTCCCCTCTATAACCCTCAGTTTGTTTCTCAGAGTCCATAATCTCTCATGGTTCGTCTCCCCCTCTGATTTCCCCCCCTTCGTTTTTCCCTTCCTATCTTCTCTCTCTCTCTCTCTTTTTTTAAACATATAATGTATTATTTGTTTCAGAGGTACAGGTCTGTGATTCATCAGTCTTACACAATTCACAGTGCTCACCATAGCACATACCTCCCCAATGTCTATCACCCAGCCACCCCATCCCTCCCAACCCCCACCACTCCAGCAACCCTCAGTTTGTTTCCTGAGATTAAGAATTCCTCGTATCAGTGAGATCATATGATACATGTCTTTCTCTGATTGACTTATTTCACTTTGCATAATACCCTCTTGAGGGTATTATGCTCCCCCCCTTCTGCTCTCTCTCTCTCTCAAATAAATACATAAAATCTTAAAAAAAATTTTTGTTTTCTTTCTGTAGGATTAAATTGAAGACAAATTAAAGTTTTGTCCTTTCTTTTTGCTGTGGGGTGAGCAGTTATATGCTTGGTCTAACAGAGTTTTGAATACCTGGCCCAGACCTGACATTATTAATAGATACTCAGCAGCAGAATGGAATCAATGAATTAGAAGTACTTTGAGAGATTAGAGGTGAGAACTTGTTCTCCCCTAGAAAAGTCAAAGAAAATTTGACAAACCAAAGACTTTAGCAGCATGCACTAAAAAGGAGACAAAGAGAGTTCTAAACTTAAACTGGAAGAAATTGTTTTTAGGCAACTGATAGAAATTGTTTTAGAACAACTGATAGAAAATATGAGATGGGTCAAGTTCCTGTAATTTTACATCTTTTTTTTAAAAATCCTTGCTTAACATGGCATCTCCTCACATAATTATATAAACATATATATTTGCATGTGTATGTATATATATATATAAAATTTAGATTTTTTCATGTAAAATTTAACTTATTTGAGTAGCTCCTTTACAAAGTCATATTGTAAAATAGTAGTTTCCAATTTGCATATTTTATAAATATGCAAGCAAATTTGAAATTAATTAACTGACATTGAATTGACAATTTTTTATTTTTCAAATAAAGTAACTAAAAACAACAAGAATA